GGGGGGGAGGTTTGGGGGTGGGGTTTGGGTGGGGAGGCTAGGGGGAGGGAGGTAAATATTTGTAAAAGTTTTGTTTTCAAAATTTTCAATAAAAAAAAAGAAATGTAGTCCCAAAGTCAGGGATGAGCTTCAAAATTTTTAGCAAGGGGTTCTCTGCCTGGTGCTGGGTGGGCGTGGCCATATTGGCCATGGCCTAGTCGCAGGGATGGGTTCTGGCTGCTGCTACTGCCAGTTCGCTCAGGGACACACTTCAAGTGCACATACTTGATGCACACTATCGCATATGCACCATACTAAAAATGCTTCTGTACATGCGTAGAAGCAAAAAACACAATGGCTCCACATATGGCGCCGATGAGGGAACTGGTTCAGGGGCGTGGCAGGCCGAATTACTACCTACTCAGCCAAACTGGTCCAAACTAGTAGGAACCCACCTCTGCCTAGTTGGCTTCCTGCACCACGGTGGGGTGGGTCGTGTTTTTGCCCCCCCCCTGGACTCCAGAGGTTTTCTTTGAGCCTCCGGGAGGGCGAAAATGGCCTCTCCAAGCTCCAGAGGCCCTCTGGAGTCCAGAAACAGGCCTGTATGTGCTGAACTTCCAGTAGGGCTGTTTTTCGCCCTCCCTGAGCCTCCATGGACACCCTGCACTTACCTGCATCCAAAACGGGCCGTGTGAGGACTCCTGGGAGGGACAGGGCAGGGCCAGCCAGGAGTGAGATTTGGAGGTTTGCCAAATTGTGGAGAATCTTAGCTAAAGGTTCTCTCAAACCCCTCTGAACCCCCAGCAGCCCACCCCTGCCCAAAGTTTGATGTATTTTTTCCACTGCAAAAGATCTAACCGTAGTAGCATGGAGTTACAAAAGAACAGTTTACTATAAAAAGTAACAATGTTCTTATTCCTTTGTTGGTTATACTACTAACTGGGAATCACTTGCTAGATAGATAGGTTGATAATCTTTATTATTGTCACTGACCAGCAAATTGTGAAACCAATAACAGATTTTTGTTGTTGTTGATTCATTTGCGTGAAATACTGGCACCTAGTGGTGCAGCAAGGAAATGCTTCCCCTAATATAATTGGAAAATCTGTATCAAATGTATTGGAGCAGTATTTTATTTGGCCAACCAACAGTTACAGCATTTGAATTCTTAAGAAAAATTGGAGTGGTAGTGGTGGAAGAATTTGCTCTTTAAGTCAACAATATGCCTTTAGTTAGATCTGAAGGAATGCCAAATACTGTTTATTCCACATGCTGCTTTTCCACTAAAAATTGACATCAGGAATAAAATAAGTAAAGCAATAAAACTCATCAAATTACTAGAAAAAGCTGCAATTGCACCCCTTCCAGATAAAGGATCCCTCAAATGTTTCCCGTAAGATTTTTTCCAATAGTCCTGGTGAGACTCTCCAAGGATACAGACGATGTATCAGATTTTCCTCGGTTACCCTCCAATGTAAACCTTTGATGTTTAAGGAAGTACAATAGGTACAGCTCGATTAAAGAGAACAAGAAAATTCAATCAAGAATATTATGCACTGGGTAGACCACAAGATGGTGCTGATCTGCTACAAAGAGGATTTCTCCGATCCAATTATTATTACAAAACATATTAAAAAGGAAAATACTGTAACGGTGGGAGCACACTTGATGTGGGATTCAAGGCTGTGATGAAACAAAAGGTCTCAGTAACGTAATTACTAAATTAGAACAGAGATATAAGTGATGCTAGACTTAACAATTTCATAGTAAAATTTAATATTTTACTTTTGCCTAAAGTATTAACTATTTAGCTATCCATTCTTGTATCTTCTTTGGTCTCTTGGAATAATTCTAACCATTTATCAGAGCTGCTTCTTTTCCCCGCTCAAGCACAGCAACTCTCCTAAAGAATTGCTTTAAGTTTTAAAAGAAAAAAGCTTTCTCCGCTGTGAGAGGCGGAACTGGAGGGAGGCCATACAGGTATTCAAATTCTGATGTTGTCCGACGTTTAGACTGGCAGGGAGGCTGCTGTTGTGTGAATGTAGGCTACCTACTCATCAAAGTACAGATAGTCCTTGACTTACAATTACAATTGAGCCCCAAATTTACGTTGCTAAACGTTAGCAATGATCCAGAAGTTGTGAATGCTTCAACACTGGAAGTTTTTAAGAAGATGTTGGATAACTATTTGTCTGAAGTGGTGTAGGGTTTCCTGCCTAAGCAGAGGGTTGGACTAGAAGACCTGCAAGGTCCCTTTCAACTCTGTTATTCTATTCTATATCCCCAGATATACTTCTTTAAAAAACAGAAACCTGGGACCTTGTGTGTTGTAATAATTATAAATAATAAATAATAATTAAAGGGTTACACTGGAGCTAATGGGGCCTCTGTACAAATCCACTGAGGATACATTTTGGACCAATGAGGCGTTTTCAGCTGGCCTACTTTACAGGATCATTTTAGTGGGGATGTATGTATGTATGCACTCCTAAAATAAGTCCTCTGCCTCTTAGAGGAAAGGCAGGTTATAAATATAATAAATAAGTAATTATTTCCAAAGAAAAACCACATAGGAAATAGTGAGTGAACAAGACAGGGATGAAAATCAGGAACAAAGACTGTCTAAGTCCTGATGTAGTCCACATTCATTTTTAGAATCAGACCGGAAGGCCGCAAACATAACTTTCAATAGGTAAACCTGTTCCCACCCCAACCCCAATACTTTTTCAATTTTAACAACGGGTGTTGCTAATCCGAGGTGGCACAGTGGTTAGAGTGCAGTACTGCATGCTACTTCACCTGACTGTTAGCTGCAGTTTGGCAGTTCAAATATCACCGACTCAAGCTTGACTTAGCCTTCCATTCTTCCAAGGTGGGTAAAATGAGGACCCAGATTGTTGGGGGCAACAGACTGACTCTGTAAACTGCCTAGAGTGGGCTGTAAAAGCACTATGAAGCGATATATAAATCTAAGTGCTAAGTGCTAATGCTAATTGCTAGGAATCAACCGGAGATTTGCCTATTTCCTTCCTGATTCTGGCTTAATTTTTAATCCGTTTCTCAATTTAAAAGTGAAGTGTGTGATTTCCCCCCAACCCCCACCTGACAATATTGTATCTCTTCTCTGCAGCCTCAGGACCTGGAAGCATCTACATCTCACACTTTCAAAGTGAAGAGTTTCAAGAAAGTAAAACCATGTGGGATATGTCGTCAGGCGATTACCCGGGAAGGAAGTACTTGCCGAGGTGAGTGATAGTGACTATGGAAGGGTAAAGTTCAAGCTTTCAGACCAAACACAACTACAGGTTGTCTTCGACTTAATGACTGTTTATTGAATGAAGATTTGAAGTTATGACAACCTTGAAAGAAGTGACTTACATTTACAATGGTTGCGGTGTCTCGTGATTACATGATTACAATTTGCAACCTTCCCAGCTGATTTCTGCCAAAAAAAGTCAATAGGGAAGCTGGATTTGCTTAACAAACGTAACAATTACGGTAAAAGTGGTCGTAAAATTGGGTCCAGTCTCATGATGATTCAGTTAATGACAGCATCGCTAATGACCAGGTCTCTGGTCCATTGATGGTCATAAGTCGAGTACTATTTGTAGTTTTCTAATAGAGAACAAATTACAGGTAATCCTCAACTTTCAACAGTTCTATTAGTGATAGTTAAAAGCTACAACAGCACTGAAAAAAGTGATATGACAATTTCTCATGACTTTTGTAGCATCCCCATGATCATGTGATCAAAACCCAGATGCTTGGCAAGTGGTTCATACTTTTGACCATTGCTATGTCCTGGGGTCATGTGATCGCCTTTTGCAACCAATTAAGCTCAATGGGGAAGCCAGATTTTACCGTGTTACTAACTTATCAACTGCAGTGAGTTACTTAACAAAGGTGGCAAGAAATTGGGGCAAAACTCACTGAACAAATATCTTACTTAGCAGCAGAAACTTTGGGCTCTATTGTGGTCCTACGTTGAGGATTATCTGTATAGAATTGTATTGGCCAAAAATAATGTGAGTTAATGTTAGCCTTTCCCCATTAGAAAAATACTCCTGGTATGGAAATAAAGAAAAATGTCTCCATTTCCCATTATAGATTAATATAATCAGAGAATGCTGACCAGTGATTATGGCTAACATTTCTGAAAACATGGATGCAAGAGCTTATATTTGAACTTACATCTCTTTTGTGGGCTTCTTATGGATATTTTCTCAGATAGTGTGTGATTAGAATGGTGGCTTGAATGGCCTTTGATGTAATCCAGAGTAAAACTTTCCTCAGGTCCTTCTGTTCTCATCCATATGTTCTAGAAGTCCAGCAAGTAAGTATGTTAGATTGCTTGCTTCATGGTGATTTTTCAAAAATATAACAGCATGCAATGGTGGGTTTATACCAGTTTTACTACCAATTTGCTCATGTGCGTGCTCTCTCTCTCTCTCTCTCATGTGTGTGTGTGTGTATGATGCTTCTGTGTATGCACAGAAGTGTCTGGGTGGGTGGGCAGAGCCTCCTTCCACTGCCACTACCAGTTCGACTGAACTGGGAGTGACCTACCTCTGGCAGCATGCATGTAATATGGAGCCCCCCCTTCTCCTCCATCTTCAGCATTGCAATGAAAAGAATGCTATTTTTGCTTCCTGTGTATGGAAGTGTCAGCCCTACAATTTAGAAGCCAATGCCATCTCGGTCAGGACTATTTTTGATGTAACAGTTATAGTAACAGAATCTTGAAAGTTTGAAAGTGCTTCCCCCCCTCCCTTTATCTTCATCTGAACTAAAGAGTGGCTGATCTGTGACATTTTCTCAAATTTTGTTTTTGGCCTGGATTCAAGCCCAGCTTACCAGACCGTGGCCTTGGATTTGACTCTTCCTCTTATCCTTCCAAGGCAGGAGTGTCAAACTCGCATGTCACATTGTCATCATGTGACGAATCACAACTTCCCCCATTTCGCTAAAATGAGGATCCGGGCCATAGGCCACGGGTTTGACATCTCTGTTCCAGGCCATTCCCTGTGCCCTCTTATAAGGAAGAAAAGAATGTGGTAAAATTCCTTGATTGCATTAATCAAACACGATTGACTGAATCAGCTGCTTCACCAAAGTAAAGACTTATCCTCATGTGTCAGTAGTACACAATCTCTGATTCTGACTCTAAGAATGACCATCATTAATATCTTTCTCGCATCCATTCAGTACAAAAGAGACTGGGAAGCTATTACATTTTTTAAATAGAAAGAACATTGAATGGAAGAATAATTCATGATAGGCTCATTGAAATAGCTCTTCTGTGAACAGAACAATGGAGATTCCTACTCAACTCATCTACTCAATGAGTAGATTCCTACTCATTTCTGTAAGCCGCCCGGAGTCCTTCGGGATTGGGCAGCATAGAAATTCAATAAATGAATGAAATGAATGAATGAACTGTTTCTTCTAGTTTTCTGTCTTCACTTGTATAACAATAGAAAAATGCTAAAAGAACAGAGTCAGAATTTCTGGAGTATTTTGTTTTACAAGATCATCACAGGCATAATAGCTGTTCCAGCATTTAGACAAGAGAGTTTTAACCATCTATTGGCTGTGATTGAGGAGAGTTACCCAGATTCCCTCTAATAACTCTTCTAACTAGGTTCACCAATTTCTACAACATTCCAGTTCTCCAGTTTGGTTAAATACTCACACACCCTGTGGTTAAATGCGATATGTTTACAGTGATGACTTTGAATAGTCATCTATAGCCACAGAAAGTCATTTTTAGGCAATAGGGAACCAGAGATAAACAGGTTCATTTCCTTCTTATCCTGTAATGATGCTGAGATACCTTCTTATGCCTTCCAAGGACAAGGTCAAAATATTTTATGTAGGACTTTTGTGTTCAAAAGTTCAAAAGCACAGAGTCTCATGATTCTGTGGCCAAAAGCTGAGTTGATCTGTTGAAATAATGGCAAAACAATTTTTTAAAAATAGCACTGTAATAATGCAGAGGTTGGGGGAATCTGTTACCCACTGGCAAACTGGAACTAGGGGAGGGGGGTTCTATTCTTCTTATCTCAGCTTATTGTATCTCTATAACACTTCCACCATTCATGGCTTGCTTCCTCTTGTCTCATTCCTGCTCCTTTCCTTCCCTTCTCCATGTATTGACATTGAATTGTAGGGCAGATTCGCAAAGCATTTGAAGAGCTAGGGACTGAAATCATAGAAGACATTTCCGGAAGTAGCCATGCAATCCCTTCACAAAATGTATTGACAAGGAATCTTGTAGCCTGTTAGAAATTTACAGATTAATTAATAAAGATAATATCATGGCTCTTAGTCTAAGGAAGTGAATTATGATCCATGGATTTTTTCTGTGATCAGGTTGTTAATTTTCAAGATGCCATAAGATGCCACTTTCATCAATTTTGCAACTGGCCACAAGATGCCACTATTTCCACGTTTTTATCTTTATTTTGTGCAGTAATGTATGAAGTAGAGTTATTGCTGATGAATTGGCTAACAGTTCAAGCAGTAAAAGTGCTTAAAGGGACACTTTTAAACATTTTGTTCAATCTTTCTCTCCCTTGCCAGGAAGATCTCGACATGATCAGTGTACTGAATAATTCACTCCAATTAGTTGACATAATCAGAAATGTGGATAGGTTTGCAACTGTTTTCCCAATGCAGGGTGCCCCATTCTAGTTACTTCAGAACTGTTGGATTTCGTGTCCCACCATTCATAGTTGACTGCGAAAGTAGCATAATGATGATACTTAAAAAAAGCAACAACGCTTGACCATGCATTGATTTTTAGCAGATTATCAGTGGTGGGTTTCCATTTTTTTTTTACTACTACATGTGCACTTGTGTGCTTGCGCAATGCTTCTGGGCATGCACAGAAGCATCCGGGCAGGTGAGTGGAGCTTCCTGCCTCTGCTACTACTGGTTCGGCCGAAGCGGGAGCAACCCACCTCTACAGATTATTTATCTGCTTTTTATCATAACAGAAATTATGGGAATGAATCAGAATGTACATCTAGAAATGAACAATCAAAACCTGGCTAAGTGCATCGATTAATACAAGTTTATCCAATCCATTTTGCCTGCATTTTTAGTTGAACTACAGTTATATGTCTTAATCCACGCTTTGCTGAATGCTGTATATAATTTGCAACTTAAAACTTAGAAATTTTATTTTTTTTAAACTGAACATTTAGAAAATGAAATTGTACATTTTTCTGCCTGATTTTATGAAACCACAAACTAGTGTAGGAATGGCACAGAACAAACTTAAAACTGGAGAAATGAGAACAGCTGAACTCAACTAATTTGCCCAGTTGTACAATCCACAGCAGCAACAAAAGTAATAATAATAATAAAAAATCAGCATTGATGAAGCATAATCATAGAAAAGCAAGTACAAAATAATATCCAGATGTGCAGCCAACATATTTGACAAGACAAGTGGTGTGACTCAGAGTTAGTCTCTTTGTGAATATAATGCAAAAGTTTGAAATGGAAAATGTACTTACTAAATGATCACAAATGAAGAAGGTGGTAGCGAAAGATCTAACATGTTAGAAGCACATGGCAGAAATTGTAGCTGAACTTAAACACCGCCAAATGGATTTCTGCATGAGGTTAGTCAACATTTAGACCTAACTTGGAAATCTCTGAAATAAATAGAATATACAATAGTAGCTTATAAAAATGTGATTCACATTTAACCCAGTCATATGAAGCATCTATTTGTATAGGTGTTGCTTATGACTACTGACTTCTTTAAAGATGCCTGATTTGTTGCTAGACCAGACTTGTGTAACATTTTTGGGGCCAGCAGTCTCTGGACCCAGAAGATGCTGAATTATTATGCCACTAGTGTTGGTTTCCAAGTTGAGATGTTGGTCTTTCAAAATGTGGTAAGCCCTAGGACCATGTTGGCGAACCTATGGCATGCGTGCCACAGGTGGCATGCGTAGCCTAAGGTGACCAGACATAACGCTTTTGGCGTGACACCCCCGCTTTTTGATGCATTTTCCCGCGTCCCGCCCGCTTTTTTAAAAGGCACGCTTTTTTTGGCGCTCGCAGCTCCCGCCCATCAGCTGCTGGGCTGGCTCATCGTTCTGTTCTATGCTACCTACAAATTTAAGCCAGCCCAGCCTGCCGCTCACTGATTTAATTGGCCTGGACTCCAGCCAATCAGTGAGCTGGCCAACCAGCTCACTGATTGGCTGGACTCCTTAGCTGAGGACGC